GGAGGAGGAAAGAGTATTAGGTATGTTCGCCACCTTGAGTTATCTATAAATGGTGGGATAAAAAATCTTCAAAAAAAATTGTGCCCAGCTCTAACACCTAGTGATTGATTTCCAGATATGTGCTCTGTTTTAATTTAACAATACATAATCAAAAGTACTTTATGGACAGACTTACTATACAAACTTGACTTGTGCGGGTTAATTCACGAGATTATTCTATTTCTTCAGGGTAATGGTTCAAGCTTCCTTCAGTTTGTTTAATTTGCCATTGGCCGACATTATTGATGCGGATTTAAAGAAACATAAACGACGGTGGGTACTCTTTAAATAAATGTCCTCCTTTTATCTTAAATGAAACAATAGGTATCATGACCTTCCTTATTTAACATGTAGATATTACATGCCAAGCTGTTTATATGACTACGTCAGGTGACACAAGTCTCCGTTTCACATTTCAGGTCACCGCTCTCTTCTATGGTCTTTGGAACCAATGCGCTCTTTACAAAACCTGCTCAGTCTTTAGCTCCTATGCTTGTGGTTTCTATCCTAAATCAATTTGGCTACCCAGATCTGAATAGTAAAGCTGTTGACCCTGATCCAAGGTAAGTGACAGGTTATTATTAAAGTCAACTCCGGGTCTCTGCCTAAAATAGTTACAGCTTTATAGTTTTTTACACACAGACCCAGTTTGACTCTTGATTCACATCAGACTATGTGTCTGACGAAGTGGATAGTAATTCTGAATGTGAAAATGAATTAGCCTTGAAGGTGACATACAGCTTTTTGGTTTTGCTGCAAAAGTTGAGTGTAGCTCCCTGCAGGAGCTATGAGTGGGTTGCCTGGATAATAGCTGCCCCCAGGCCGTCTTTGAGTGGGTTGGCTGGATAATCAGTGTGTGAATTCAGTAGCGCTGAGATATTTTGCTTAGAAAGCTGGGTTCCGAATGCAAACGAAAGAAAGCAGGATCGCTTTGGAGAGTGGAACAAAACCAGTACAGTAAGGATGAGCCATAGTGATACTTTATTCTTCAATACTGGTGGAAAGTTATGAAATGTTTTTTCTCTTAGTCTGTTCTTAGGTCTCCACGATGCCATGTTCTACATGATCTGTCTGGTCCCACTTTGCATTGCGGTAATACAGATTCTGACATGGACACCTTTTTCCATCCAGAATACTCATCTGACACCAGTCCTATGAACTATAAATGTGAGCATTAAGTGGACAGAGTGTTTAATTGACAGATGTCAATTGTGAGCAAGGACACTGGATTTTCCTAACCCTTTGAACTAGCAAATCAAATGCAGCCGGTGGCATTTCATGATCATCCGTAGTTTTAAATCTTATTGTGCTTTATCATGAAGTAGAACTCTTTTTCTCATTCCATTGATGTACCAGGGAATTGGAGACAAACCTTGCAAGTGTATTTGATGGGTACTCTTAAGTTTCTATCTCACATTAACACCCACAGGATAAATAAAATGCCTACCTCCTATTAAGACCAAAAAAGGAGGTGAAAGTAACACCATTCCACCCCTACATTAAATGCTTCTTTACTGCAGACAAAACAAGAAAACTGTTGATTCCCCCACACACACGCACACACCAGCATAGATGACAAGACAACCTTTTTCTTTGTTTTGTTATTTACATTTTATCTACCAAAAAATCCACAACTGTCTCTCCCTTGAAAAGGAGACTGACAGATTGAAGCAGACAAGGGAAATAAATGTAGGTGGCTGCATAGCCAGGAGACTAAGCTTGACAAATCATAGAAGCTGCTGCTTTGTAGAGAGCCCCAGTACTGGTGTATTTATGTTCCAAAGGGCCATGACGGCTAGGGACACAACACTGTGGTTTGTCAGTGCTGGCCAAGGAGGAACTATAATAGCACATGATGGAAAAGCTGAGGCGCAGGGCAGAAACTTTCATGGGAACCTGATGGAAAGGGTTGATAACAGAAGAAAAGCTTGCTTGCTGAACTCTTTCTTGAGCTGTCAAGCTCAGAATTGGGTTTCCTGGGCTGTAGGAAAAATATCTTTTGGGAAGATGGCCTTTGGATCTTTCTGCCACATCGCAGAGATAATCTTGTGTACGATTATACTGTCGGATTTCTGTGTTTGTTTTAGCTGATCTTTTTTTTTTTTTTTTTTTGCCTTACTTTAAAATAGCATTTTGGATTTCTTTCTATACATGTCTTCAGTTTTTCCCTTTTCAGTAGAATTTATAATGAATGGAAAACCAATCTTACTTGATAAGACAAAATCTGAATTATGCCTTAATAAATCATACAGTCCTTTGCCCAGTGGATTATTGTTATTTATATTTATAATGCATACATACAAGCCAATTGTTTTTTGAGCCATTCTTATTGCACCATTGGAATAAGGAACTGGTTTCTTAGAAAGCCTGTCTAAGGTGGGCTTTAGAATTTTTTTTTTCTTTTCCCATGCTGAAATATTCCTGGCCTATCAAGTTCTTTGGCTCTTCCAGTCCAGTCCCTTTCCCACTCCTTTTAATATATTGTCCTAAAATTTTTAACCTAGTAAGGCCTTAGTGCCTTTTATTATCAATTAAACTATAATGCTTCTAATGGATTGCATTTTTAAATCCTTAATTACTTTCTGCTATTGGACATATCACAGGGAACATAATGCAACTGGGTTTTATAGGTGACCTTTTTGGTAGAATAAGTGGTATAAACACTGTTCTGTCATTTTCCTGTTTGCTTGGTAAACTGGAAGGACCGGTAACAGAGCAGGCTCCAAATGAGAAGTGCCACCTAAGAATTGAAAACACTCACATTTATTTGGCTAGAGCTTTAAAACATTTCCTCCAAATGTTATTACTGTCATAAAAATGGTATTTTTCAGTACAGCTCAACCGACCAAACAAGGTTAAGGTACAATTTGTCACATGTAGTGACATTATAAAGCTGGTTTTTTAAAAAAATTATCTGCCAATTGATGATGCCAATGGCTTTTATTTATTTACTGCAACACTAATCATCCTAAAACTATGCTGGCAGAATAAAGTAAGTCAGATCCTAAAACCCAGCTTTAATCAATAGTATATATTGGCCTGGACTTTGTGAATCCCCATTTGGCATAATCACTCAGCTCTTTTATAGTTGGGAACTGTACCAATCCACCAGTAGTTAGCTTTTTTGAAAAATTAACTCCCCAATTATAGAATCTTTAATTATTGAATAAGTTTGTAATGGAGAATATGGGAAAGTTCAATATTTTGTAGGTTTCTGATTTAATAAATCCATATTCTCTTCAGTTTCTAGTGACGTGCTCATCATCGTCCATTGTTTCTCCATTTAAAATAAGAGACCTTTTTTTGCACAGCATAAAAGGTTTTTTTCTGGTGTGCTGTAAGTAGTTTCCAGGTGCTTAAAACTATTGTTCTGTAAAAAAAAAAATTGTTTTTTAACGTGGAGCATTGAAGTGAAAAGTTAGGAAGAAGTCTCCTGCGTGTGTACAATAGTTTAGCTCCCTCCCAGCTGTCCTCACCCATGCAAGAGCAGTAAGATTTCCTTTGAGTGATTTTCTTTGAAGGAAAAAAAAAAAAAGTATTCCTTCCCATTATTTCCATTTAACACGAAGAAGTCTCTTCCGTCAGACGCATAGCCGGCTGTTTTGGCGGTGAAAGACCAAGTCTTTGCCACTGGCAGGCCACGTAGAACTTCCTTGTGCAGGCACAGTCTACCTGATGAGCTGTTAACGGCGCCGCGGGGCATATCGTGCCGGTTTCTTCCCTGGCATGACGCGGACGGGCTCTTAAGAGGACGAGGACTCTGGAGGAACGGGACCATTTTTTTTT